CAAATGAAATGCATGGTACATTGGTTCCATACTGACAGAGTGGAAGTGCTTTGCAAAGGAACCTATTTTAATATTTTTCTCCCCAGTGAGCAGAGATCTGACAAGGATTTTCGCTACCCTTGGCATCCATGTCCCCAACCACCACAGAAATGTCAGTGAACAGTAACTGACCTGTGGTTTTTGCTGCTGTCACTGAAGGGCTTGTCTACGCTAGAAGTTTGCCCTGTTTCAGCACTACACAAGAGTAAAAGCAACAGATGCAAATGTAACAATTATGTTTTACTATCTTATCTACTGTAAAGGGCTATCTTGCAGTCAGTCAGCTGGGGAAGAAAAGTATTTTCACCTCCTTTATCAATACCACCTACAGTAAAACTCAGCACAGACCAGACTAACACAGCAGGTTTGATGGATGAAGGACAGCCAGATTACAAACCCTCTAGGTGCAGCACATTCTTCTGTTGAGCCAAAAAAGTAGACCCAAAGGGGGCAAGAAACCCAAAAAGCCCTCATTTAGTTTCAAAGTAAACGTGCCACAGATTCCTAAAATATACAAGATACACTCAGGGGATTATTTAAGTATTGTCATCGGAATGAGTTAGTACTTATAGCTCACTGTCACACCAGGGACTGAAGTCTCTGCTCAGATTCCAAGTCTAAGGTCAACTCGGAACAAGTTACCTACGCAAGTGCTGACAAAGCATCCCCATATGCTGAGACAGCTGTGGGAAACCTCCTGGCTGCTCTCCTGATGGCCTGCCTTCACCTGGAGGGTCCTTGTATATCAGCACATCCTCCTGAAGGGGAGTATTTCCCTATCTCCCAGCACGTATCTTTAGTGGCTGTGTATCTATACAGTGCTACCAAGTCCAAACTTTGATCCTCATTTATCTTCAGGTTTTTCCCCCTTCAAACAATGGCTAGAACATCTGCAACATAAAAAGATCTTGCTGGCAGATACACTGGACATCATGCAATGCTGTCCACTAGAAGATTTAGGGCTGAGTGGACCCTTTCACAGAAAAAAAAAAAATAAGAGCACTCAGGGAATTAATCTATTTCAAAATGGGCACTTTGACTGTTAATTTAATTTCTTCTGTTAATCCTCTCCCCTACTTACAATAAATTGTCAGAGACACTTCCTCAGTGACAAACAAAACCCTCAGTATTATGAAGTGCTGAAGCTGCGTAGAGTGTTCCTTTACTCCTTTGCTACTGAGCATCCTCTTGTGCTTCTTAAAACACTGCTATTAAGACCCGTTTTATTTGCTACTACATAAAAAGCATTAAGCTGTGAAGGAACTGACTACAGAGAAGCCAAAAGGATCAAACAGTGACAGTCAGATGACAATACGACAATCCAATTCACAGTGAGGAAAACCCCCCACAAAGCTGTGGTGGAGTATTTGAAGGCATACACTCAACCATGTCACCGGGCCAAGAATCCCAGATTCCCTGTCATTGCCTAGACTTTGTAATTAGGGTTCATTCAAACAAGCTGCAATGCCAGAGAAATTTCCATCTTACAGATTTGACTAATAGTCTGTTCCAGCAAAACCAAGACCCCAGGCAAAGTGAAATACAACTCCACTGACATCACGCACAGCTATTTTCCAAGGCCAGTGCATCAATTTATTCCATCATTTCTCTCCCGTACACATGTTCCCTGGTGCAGGAAACTCAGCCTTGCAGCTATAGTGAGAGACAGGAGTGTTCATAAGCTAAGCAACGACTCCGCAGAGCATGCTTCTTTCTGGTGACATTGCCACAGGTAAGAACGTTGGACAAATATTTAAGGAGCTAACAAATAATGAAATGGAATTGCAACAGGATTCAGAAACTGGAAAGACCCAAAGCCATCCAGAGTAAAGAACGGGTAACAAGACTGATTGCTTGAATCTTTTCTGCCTCTTTCACTTTGATAACTGTACTTCTGAGTTACCCTAAGTGTGCTTTGGTGTGAGGGAAAAGCACACTGCTTCATTAATACTAATAATCAGTAAGGTTTTTCATGCTTACATTGAAGCTGGGCCTAATTTAGTGCCCTAAAATTTACACACTCTGACTTACAAAACCTGAGCGATGTGCAAGCGATGGAATTACCAAATCCTGTCCTGGATGTGACTTCTACCTGCCAAGCATCCTCCACTCACGAAGAGCTATTTTTTTGTAGTGCATTTTCCCCTTTCTGCAGAGCAACGCAGGATTAACCTAACCCTTCCCACTACTCATCCAACCAGAAAAGTGGATTTGGACAATGTTTTTTGGAGGGCTCATTCTCTCCTTTGGGAGACCCAAGGAAGACACATTTACGTTGCGTCCAAAACCTGAGCTGCATCAACACTCACCGGTACATCTGTCAGGGTGACCCTTCTTAAAGTACATTTTTTTTCAAACTGTCTGGGAGTTTATGCCGATAAAAAGTTTTTTTGACAGATTCTTTCACTTGTTTTTTCTTTAAGGAGAGAGTGGAAAAGGTGATAGGGATTCGGAACAGGGCAGGGAAGTACGTTCTTTTTATATATATATATATTTTTATATATATATATATATATATATATATATATATAGTAGTTGAATTTGCAGGGGCCAAGTTACCGCTTCTACAGAGATGAGTGTTTGTAAAGAACAAAAAATAGCCTGGCTAAATCATCCACTTGGGATTTGTGGTTTGCATTATGTTGTTTTTATCTTTCCTTCGTTTGTTTTTGCAAAGTCAACACCATGAGAAAAATTAGGCTTAATTACCTCGCATTAAAGAAGGAAACAAGCAGAACAGCAGTTTGCAAAGGATGAGTTGTACATGCAGGGCACCCAAAAGGCTCTTCCCTCCAGAGTCTGATACACTTAGGGTGAGAAACTACCCTGGAAAAAAAACGAGGCTTACCTGTCACATATGAGGAAAACATCTGGAATTGTCATCGCAGTGGCAGCTGACTGGGACATATGGAGGAGAACCTGTCACAGCAACAGGGACGGAACTGAGCAAAGAGAACAGGCCCCTGGGCCCCGAGGGTCTGGGCTGCCCTCAGGGGCCAAAGGATACTTGCCAGGAGGAACACAGAGGGACCCAGCTTCTTTGGGGACCAAGGGACACCCCCGACGAGGGGCAGGGGGGAAGCTGGCTCCCTCTGGGATCAAGGAGCACAGGCAGAAGGGGCTGGGGGACACTGTACCCCAAGGTCTGGGCTTCTCCCCACAAGCAAAGAGGCATGGCTGCTCTCAGGGCTGTGCCCCAGGGCTCCCTCCCACCACCTTTCTGTCACGCTTTTCCCCCTCACAGCAGGGGAAAGGCTCTTACCTGCAGGCCACCATGCTGCCCAGCCGGAGGGACTTGCTCGCAGCACCTTCCAGAACCTTCTGGGCCAGCTGCTCCCAGCTCCCTGCCCTTAGAATGAAGCCTGGCAACGTGCATGTAACTGAAGCCAGGCGACAGACGCCTCTCCAGCCTTCCCCCTTGCAATGGCAAAGCATCACTAAGACCACTACTGCAAGAGGGACTCTATTGTTCAATTTATGCAGTAATAAAAATCGTTTTGGCCTTGTCCCTGTAGGATTCATCATTTTAAATCTGGAAACTCAGAACCTGTACCAAGAAAGGGAGGGGAGCCTAAGCCCATTCGAGTTCTACGTTAAGTACAAGGAATTAAAAAACCAAAAGAAATGTCAAAATAAATACCATAGCACATGTTCAAGCCAGCCTCAGAAAAAGCACTTTCAGGAGCTATTTCCAGTAGACAAGAACTGACCTTCCCCTTATAAAATGCCACAGGGTATAAATAGAGCAGCCTCTTCAAATATGCAGCTCCAAACTCGTGTGCAATTTGTCATGAACGCTTCTCCGTCTGCTTCAAGCACGCTCGAACAACGGGGCACTCTTTTCTCCCTACGCTCAGAGCACTAATTAGCTTGAACTGGAGTCAAAATACCTCAGTATTTCTAAAAAAATCATAGATCAAAAACCAAAGCAGAACCAGATCAAGAATGCAGCCTCCCCGTCTCCCTTCTGACCAAACATATGTTCTGTAAAGACACTCGCCATCTCTCTCTGTGACCTCACAACATTTCCCTAAAATTTTGGAAATGATTATCATGAACTGCAAAGACTCAAACAGCTAGCTCACACAAATCCATTATAATCCCCCATAAATGGAAGACAGGGAGCTGCTAAAAATGTACACAAACATGTAACTTGATGCAATTTAAAAGCAAATTTTAGCTTTTACAGCAGGCAACAAACAGACAATGAGTTACTGTGCATCTTCCTCTCTACAATTATCATCCCTTTGGAATGCATCTCTGTATCACTTGCGAGCAAGACAACTCTACGGGCACAAAATAACATCTCTTTGAAAATGATGCATGAAAAACTCAGCTAGTGTACTGTATCCGTGAGTCATCAGGCCTCATCTCCCTTGTGTGTCTTCTCAACACCTTTGGTTTGCAGGCAAATTTAGAAGATGATGATCACATGCAGTCTTGCCTACTCTGTTAAGACCAGGGGAATTGTCCTCTAGTTTGTTAGTTCTCATCTTTCTACTCTTCTTTGGCTGACACAGTGAGAGCTTATGCACTCGCTTCATTTTAACTACTTGTTTGTGCTCAGGCAGAGCAGTGGCTACGGTATCTGACCACTGTACACTGAAAGCCCCTGAAGTCACGATAGCCAAAACATCCTTACACATTAATTCTAATCGATTTGACTGCTTAACTTATGGAAAAACATGCCAAATTTATGCAGTATAGCCCTAGAGCATAAATGTGCCTCAGGGAGGCAGAATATACTCTGGAACTGGACGTGATGTTGGTGCTTTGTGTACTGTGTATTGAGAATGAAATGACTTCAAAGAAGGAAAAAATAAAGCCAGAAAGACAAGACAGTTTTGAAACAGACAAGATGGCCATGCCGGCATCCCATATTATCCCAGATGAAAATAACTCTTTCCCCACTAACAACAATCAACAGACACATTTCGCTTGCAGGCAAAACCTGGCTGCTGTAGTGTAGCTTGGTTTTATTTATGTCCACAAATATTTCAAAAAAATTACAAAATACTCAAATGGAGAGAACACAGAAGTCACGATTTCTGGGTTTCTACTCTGTTTACACTGTGTTATCCCATGGCAAACTACTCATATATACATTAAGCTTCAAGATATATATAAATGTAGCAGTCAGAATGTACACTCTGCTTTAACGGTGCAGTGAAACAAGCTCAACCATGACGACATAGAACAAGAGAGACGTTTCAAAAACACTAAAGCAAAATTAAAAAATAAACTTTCAAAACAGAGGAAAAGTAAGAGAGATTTCTTAAAGAAAACCAAAAGTTCTGGGTTGTTTTAACAGGGTATCGAACACCAAGATGGCTTCAAAAACCACTGCATGTAAAGTTGTAGTTAATCATTGGTCTAAAATGGAAGAATTTCAGTGCTTATTTGCTGAATGATGTGAACAAAAAAACCTCCCAGAAAGTATCAGAACTACTTTTCTGGGAAAAAAAGAAAAAAAAAAATCAATTAATAGCTTTTAAACAGACTGCAAACTTCAGCTGAAAGAAAAAAAAAAAACAAGCAACAAGAGAGAGGGGACCATGGGAGGCAATTAGCTGTTTTTTTTTTTTGTTTGTTTCCTTAAGAACAACTATAGCTAAAAATAACAGCAAAAGAGAAGGATCACAAGAAATGGCTGAAGTGACTGAACTCCCCCGAACTCCCAAATTCCACATGGTAAAAACAAGGAGAGGAGGTTTAACTGCAGTGTGCCTAATTAGACCTTTAAAATAAACTGAGGCACTCTCTCTGCTGAGCAGACCGATCTTACCAGCTATTCCAAAGTTCACAAAAGTAAAAAAATGTTACTCGGAAGAAAACCATTTCACCTGATCGCAGCAGACAGCGACCGAAGGCACTGACTGGAGCTGACTTTACCATCCTCGATTCTAGATTGACCTCGTGGTTTCCACATCTCAAACACTAGCTGTTCCTCCTAATACCTTCCCAGAGAGTTCAAACAGAGCAGATGGAACTGATTAAAGGCTACTGCAGTTCTTTAGCACTGAGAAATCTGGAATGGAGGACAGAAAATAAAAAAAAGGAAGATCAACATCAGCTGCAATAGTCCTCCTCTCTCTCCTATAGACTTTTGCCTTAAGCAGACTTAGAATGCCCCAATGCACATTTTAATTAGTAAACTGATGTTATTAACTGTCTGACAGTAATCTTTGGGCACTGACACTGGTTTGAGCTTCAGGAGGTGGATAAAGCACCGTGCGTGCCATGCCTTCCATCAGAATGTATGATTAACTACAAGTTTATCAAACATGGCTCAGTACAGTCCTATGACACAACCATCACACCGAACAGTCTACAACAGCAGAGAGAGAGCACTCATAACTTCAGAGAGAGAATGGGGGGAAGTTATGCACCAGCAGAAAAAACGGCCAGCAGATTCAGATGTCCATTGGTCGCATCACCCTCTGCTCTGGCAAAGAAAATCCATGGCAAAAGAGTGTGTGTGTGTGTGTGGGGGAAATCTGCCTAAAGAGTAAGCAGAGGTGTCTTCGAAATAATGCTCACTGGCCTTCTGTGTATTCCTCTCCTTTTACCATCCACATGGGAATTAGCCAAGAGGAGTTCCTCCGCATGGACCTGTTGTGTTGGGAGTCAGTAAAATGTCACTATCCACGTATCTGGTTAATCCCAAAGCAGTAAGTTCCTGAGATACAGAACACTGGTGGCAGTTAAAAAATTTTTTGCCTACAAAAAACCAAAACTAAAACAGTCGAAGAGAAATATAGTCTGGTCTTTGCAAAACAACTTTAAGAACACTAACTGAGTTGCCTAGTCAACTTTTCTTAAGAACATATCAAACATAAGAGGCCAGAAAGGGCACATTCTCCAAAAATATGCACATGCATACAAAATTCTGGCTGTACTAGTTTTGAGCCACGGAACATTTTTAAAAAGAGATTTTAGAACAGATTATTTCTTTGAACTTTTGCCTAAAGTCTAAAACCAACGTAGTTTAAAGTTTCAAAAGGTAACAGGAAAGAAGCGTATTATGGCCACACTGAAAATTAACCCTTGAAGTAGGAATCAGAAGGGTAAGCTAGTTCCAAGGGACATCTGTACTGCTGAGAAACCCAACTCAACAGAAATCATCTGCAAAACAGAGAGATGTAACACGAACAAAAAACCCCAAACAACCAAACCAACCAAAAAAACCAAGAACAGAAACAGTCATTTGCAACATTATCCCTGCAACTCCCTTTAATGCTTATTGTTGATATCAAACCAAATGTCAAGCTTTTACCCATTTGAAATTATTGATACCCATCATTCCCTTTAATTAAAGGGATAATTATATATATATATTTTATTAAAAAATCAACTCTGTATTCTGTCAATACCAGGTAGGAATTCACAATTTGTGATGTTACTGAAAATCAAGATAAATGTTTCTGGAGTTTTGTTTTGTTTTGTTTCTCCCCTCTACCCAAAAAAAGTTATTTACAGACTTAAAAAGCCATGCTGCAGAACTGAGCTCTCTTTAAAATTATGAAGATTTCCTACAATGTATTAAAATAAAAGTAGATTTTTATTATTATAGCACTTGGATTCAGAGCTTGTTATGTCACCTACTTGCAATCCTTGTTTTTTTTTAAAATAGCTATAGATGCATTGAGTGTCTCTTCACGCACAGTGACTTGTGTTGTGAACCTGATTCTAGCACCTACTCAAAACAAACTAGTAAGAAAAAAAAAAAAAAAAACAAGATTGCAGGAAGTTCTCTGAATATTCCACACAGTCCTGTATTTTCAATAGGCTTCTGAATACGTTGTCATGCAGGGAGACCCACACCAGTCTTGAGAAATCTTCTCTACAAATGAACACTATGCTGATAAGTCTCTACTTGTTGGGTGGTTGTTTCTGTTTTAAATATATAAAGAAATCTTTATAAGATATTCTTTTCCTTTTGTAGCTCTTATTGTATGTAAAAATGTTCCACTCCTTCCCAAGGACTGGGGTTTCCATAGCCAGCATTACAAATAAATAATTTATTACAACTGTTTGTCGCCTTCTTTCTTCAGTCGACTGAAAGAGAAAGAAAACTCATTTTAACAAAACGAAGGAGGTGTCATGACACTTCAGAGATAGCTTCTGCCTTCCTGCTAACCTCACCGGGGTGCCCTGGACGGAACTGAGGTCGCAACAGGACTTGTGAGCTTTCAGCACAAAAATGAGAGCCACTGTAACAGCAGCGGTAACACTGTCTGTTGTGGGAGGAAGTGGTGACCTTTTGCTACCGGAGTGCTCCTTACATGTGAGCAAGATCACTAGTGGCAGCTCATCAAGCTTTTGCTTTATCTGCAGTTGCAGATGTGACAGTCAGCTGCAGGCACACTGCCTGCCCCCGCAGCACAGGGCTGCCAGGCAATTCAGGCAGGCTTGGGTAGCAGAAGCAAGGACTGAAACACCAGAGTAAAGCAGGTGTTGAATATGCTGCTTCCTACAGATCAGATCCTTGCTGCCCACAGGCATGCGGAATGACCCTCGCTAGGTGCTGGTGGCTTTTTCTTCTCAGCTGACATATTGTCAGTGGTCACTGTCCAACAGGAACTAAGGTGGTGTCGTGTAGAGGTTGGCCAAGGAGAGAACCACTCTACTACCAACCCCACGGAACATTCTGGGGAGGAAGATCTTGCATCATTCATCTAGACATTCTCAGCTGGTAATGCAGGATCCGGATTATTCACACATTTCAAGTTCCTATTGCCCTTAGTCATTTTAAAGATTTACTGAATTCCACCCTTCTCATTCATAAAGCTTTACCCACCCTCCTCCACTGTTCTCAACGAGGAGAGAGATGTGGAAGCAGCAATCGTAGTCTCACACTACAACCCCCAATCAGAGGCAATTCTGCAACGTAAGACTCAACTAGTCTACACCTGTGCCAATAATCTGGACCAAGCTTCCAATCTGCCGTATCACCTGTGCCCAAATTTGGTCTCAGTAGAGCTTCACCGTCTTCCATAACTGCATCAGGACATTAACTCAGCACACAGTAGCAAAGGCAGTAATTCAGAAGAAAAAAAGATGGAATGTGGAGAAAGATGAAGGAAGCTGCAGCACCCCCGCATCTCCAAAAGCCTTCATTGCACCTCTCACCTGTAATAATCTTCCTGACTTGGTAGATGACCACCATGCATGTGAGGATGCCCATGCAACCACTGCTGCTCCATTGCCAGTCTCTGCAGCTCTGCGGACTGGGCATGCATGGCCTGCAGCTGGTGGGCTGCTGACATTGGAGGTGGAATGGCACCAGGCAGATCTCGTGGATAAGGAGTACCTACAAGAGAGTTGCCCATTTTTAGACACTACTTTGCTATGAGGTCTGCAGAGCTGTCCCATAAAGCTCTAAACAAACCCACCAACCTTTGGCTGTATCCTAAGTTACAGCTCAACTCCACTAACTCCCCTCCCAAGAACTGCAAAGACCCAGAAGGAACGATGTCAGTTCAGATCAAGAGCCAAACTTTGTAAAGGACCAGAAAATGCTCTCACCAAAGACTGGATGTCGGAGCATTTCATGCTCATGAGGTGGCTGCCCTAGCAATGGGTTGGGGATGGTCCCAGGTGGGTAGGGAAAACGTGCCAAATGGGGTCCTGCGGCTAAAGGATCCACCAGCGGATGAACAGGTCCTGCTGAACCTTTAAAAAAAAGGTGAGAAAGTAAACAACCAACTGTTTTAGGAAGCACCACTCACTGCTGGGAGGTCGAAAGTCCTGTTAGACTTGAGCTGGAGCAGCATTTGGCTTGACTGGCATGTAATTAACGGGACTTTAGCTCCATCCAACTGCCTTTTCTATGTTCAAGTGACATCTGCTTACCAAACAGTCTTAGTTGTTAAAACAACAACCCAGGGCTTTCAATTTCTACAAGAAATCTACCACCCAACAGGGAAAACCAAATACAATCAAGAAGTTAAAAAAAAAATTCCCTCTATTTTGCCTTTACACACATAAAATTAAAGGAACACTAGTGACATTTAGTACAGAAGCACTTAGGCAGCCTTCCGACTTTAGCAATACTACTTTATAAGCCAAAAGCTGGCAAAAACCTTCGTCTGCAAAAGATAACATTGTCACCACCCTTGTGTGGAGAGGGACACCTGTAGACAACCTCTCTGATCTCACTTTACCAATATAATGAAAAAAAGACACTGGCAAAACCTGAAAAAAACTGAACTCATCACCTACTCTGCAATCTCTGCACGTTAAGCTGTTAGCAGACTGCAGAGGAATCACAAATGAAAGGAAGGCAACACAGCCAACACGATGCTCCCTCAGGTGTTATCTGGTCCAGAGCAGAAATCGTGAGGTCATTTTACACTCTGTTCACCCCTCCTCTAAGCAGACATAGAGGTTACACACTTTAGGGCCTTACTCACCTATGGAGCTACTCTGGAGCAAGAGCTACTCGGAGACACTTGAGCTCTCCTATTTCAACCTGGCACCCAGGATTAAAGCCAAATTACTTTTCAAATACAGGTAAGAGAGACTTGACAATGAGTTGACTTGGCTTTGCTCGCACTAGTCTTTTGCTAGACTGAGACTAAGAATGTACTCCCCACATTTTTATCCAGAACAAATAACTGGGGAGTATCTAGACTTACCTGCAGAGGTGGTGACTTACCTGACAACAAAAACCTTGTACAGACAAGATCTATGACAAATTTCTTCTGCTATCAACAGGGTAGGCAAACCTGCCTCGAACTGAACCAGTTTGTAATTTGTGCAGTCAGTCTCCACCAATATCCACAGCTGGCAGCTTTAAGGATGCTGATATTCAGCGTTATCATCTCCTAATCGTAACCCCCTGCCCCTTCATCTCACAAGACCCTGCTGCTTTCCTTGCTATAAAATTTGGCTTCTGAAACAGCACTCAAATTCCTTCCAAACTCCAAAAAGCAGACATCCCAGCTAGGTTTAACACATGCTGCTCCAAGGCCAAGTGTGCTATATTTGCCTGCACAAATACTACATTTGTAGCCAGCTGCACCAGAAGCTGCACTTGAAGTACTTGGGACTTTTTTTCCCCCCCTCTTACTTGGCAGCTACTGCACCTGGTGCCTTGCTATGTTCTCTCCAGTCTGCCACCAGAAAATCAGAAAAATTCTGCTTAGTGCCTCATCTTCCAGACACCAGAATTCTAGAGGAGTAGCCACATAGCTGGCTTTAAAAATGAGCAAGGCATCAGTTCATTTCTGAGACTATTAAATACTCGGGGAAAAAAACTTTCCACATATAAGAATGTACTGTAGCTAAAAAGATGCCAACCCATCAATTTAGATGGTTCTTATGAGAATTGTGACAGTTTCAGCTCAGCTAAAGCCAGACAGCTGGCATGTCAAACAGCTAAAGAGATGAAGTCTTTCTCTCCTGATTTTTTTTTTTAGCTCCTTTTCAGCTATAACTCATATAACAACAGCCATTAGCAGCGTTACCAGTTCAGTGACAGCTCTCCTACTGAATTCCCTTCGCCCAGTGGCGTCTCCACCTGCACACAGACACTGTAAGGTGGTGCTCTACGACTCCAGTACTTAAAAAACCAACACAACAAAACAGCAAACCTTTTACAGTGACAGTGTGCAGTCTTCAAAAAGATCGCTGTACTGTTACCATCATTTACTTTATCACTGTTACTGGTCCATCCTCACCAAAAAATAATTGTTTGTATTTCAGTTATCACAACCTTATACAGTACAGAAGTCAGAGCGTGTACAAGGAAACAGGGGTTTTGTTACTGGAGCTCCAGAATCACCGTTTTGGCCTGTTTTGGGGAGATTTCTGCTGACAGCTCAGGAAGAGAGATTCCCTAGGAAAGCGCCCAGCCCCTTTCCCCCGGGCTCACCTTGGTGTAAGGGATCCTGCTGATGTAGGTGTAAATGCGAGTGTATGTGTGAATGTTGGTGATGGTGAGGCGTAACGTTGAACATCTGGAGCCGTGCCAAGGGGTCGTTTGTCAGCGATGCCATCCGCTCCGCGTGGATTCTCTCTGCTGCCAGTCTGTCGGGGTAGCTCATTTCAGGCCGTAACTGCGGGCCTGCCAGTGCAAGTCTCTCTCTTTCGAGGGGGTTCAAACCCGGATGGAAGGAAGCAAATGGGTGAGGTCCTGCTGTTGGGGGAATAGTCAGTGCGCCATGCCTGGCAAAATGCTCCATGGGGTTAGTAGCTGGGTGCAGGGCATCTAGCTCTGGGGGCTTCACCTCAAAGCCAGGTTTCATCCTCTCTCTCAACTCCCTTTCCCGGATTTCTCGCTCCCGGATTTCCCGCTCTCGCAGCTCTCGTTCCCGAATGGTGGGATCCACATTGTAGAGGCCGGGCATGTGGTAGGCCAGAAGTGGATCAGTGGGGTTCAGGGGGACAAAGAAGGGATGATTACGGTTTGTTGGTGACATGACATGAGGACGGGCATATTCACTCAGTGTTCGTAAAGCAGGTGTATCTGGACCGATGTACGGTGGTACAGCAGCGATGGTCGTCGGGGGAGGTTCAAATGAAGGTCTCATGTGTGCTGGCCCGCTGAGCTGCGACTCTCCAAGACGGCCTTCATGGGAGGAGCTGGATACCTTCTGCTGCACAGAATGGGGGAGGAGAATTTCAGTTCAACACATTTGGCTTAAAAACACAGCAGGCAGACACTTCCCTTCTTGTGCTCCAAGCCCTAAGAGGAGGTTAAGTTCAGCCTTCTGAGCCTCACAAGTCCTGCACTTGTGTGCTCCCAAGTGGTCTGGGGAAGAACTGGGTTCTGTCTATCCTGGAGGGCACTTTGTAGTGGCAGCCTCAAAGCTACACTAACAGCTTTACAGTTAGTAGAGCACCAACTAGTTGGTAGATGTCACAACTGTGAGCAACAGCTGGCTGGTACAGGTCAACACAGACTACCAGTCCCGTTCACAGTGTGTTCTTCCTCTCCTCTCCACACTCACTTGTGATCTAGAACTTACTAAACCCAAGCAAACTCATCTCCATGATGTGCAACACAATAAATGCCACTCCTTTCACATCATGACTTTGCATCTTGCTCTCCCCTCCTGTACAAGGGCACCACAGCACCTTTGGGGAGGGCACTAAGCAGAGTTTATCCACACAATTGCCCAAGGATCCCCACCCCCAAAACGAAGCGAAGTTCCCATACATAACACATCCCTTAACACACGGATGCTATACCCTGAATTTTATAACCCTACAGAAACACACAGTTCTGATTCAGATCTCTGAAATGCACCTGGAACAGTAAGACTTTATCACCTTCTTTCTCAGCATCAGTAGTGCCTTACCAACCTACCAATTCTGTGTGCCCAGAAGCAATCATTCCTTTCTGACAGACCACAAAAAATGGATTAGTTGTGTGGGCTCTTTATACCAAGACTGGAGTTTGGGTCTCCCCATTAATAAAAAAAAAAAAAAAAAAATTACGTGCCTTTAAAGTTTGCTTCAAATTTGAAAAGTCTTTAGATCACCTTTTTCCAGACAGCACTCTTGTGCCTGCACAGTAGTAGAAGGTTACACAAAGGCACTCACTGTATCTGCACAGAACTCTTTCCTACTGAAAGTAAACGTAAATACTTGGCCTAGTTATCCCCAGTGGCACTGGCTTCCCACACATCAGAACCAGGCCAGGAGCAGAAACTCTCCATTTCCTTTAAAGAGAAGCAAGTCCCAGGCAGGGCGGGAGGTGCTCAGAGCTGGTTGGCTTTCACTCAATCCACCAGGCTCTCGTATCCACAAACACCCGACTGCTCACGCACTAAAGCACTTCTGGGGATTTGCGTTCCGTAGTCACCTCCAGGTCAGATCCCACCATGCCAACTTCCCTTAAACAGCTCTTAGCTACAAATAAACTTACCGCAGCTCTTTCTGCTTCTCTTTCACGCTCCCTCTCCCTCTCTCTTTCCTTCTCTTTTTCTTTTTCTCTTTCCCTCTCTTCTCTGGCTTTCTGCTCCGCTTCCCTTTTGGCCTTTTCAATGGCCTCTTCTCTCTTCTTGGCCAGTTTTGATCCTGCCAGAGGCATAAAGTACAAGTCTGCTCTTGAGCATGAATTGTAGCCACGGTCCAGGTGCTTATAGAACCTGAAAGAAAGAAAACAGAAAGAGCTTAGCCCTAGGAAAGATGCAAGATTTAAGAGCTGTATGTAGAAAAAAACCCCCAGAGTGTAGCACTACTCGCTTCCCTGAAAGCCATGAGAAAACTAATTGTACCATATTACTCCACAGAGGAGTGGAGTATAAAACCCCTCTCACAATTACAAACTGTAATGGCCTCTCTGAATATGCTGGCTGAAACAGCACCTTCCCAGAAAAAAAGGGCAAAATCATGCTAGAAAGAGAGGCTGAGAAGATGCAGATGTAAAATACACTCAGCTCCCGGAGGAGCTGATTTCTCAGCTCCCGGGAGCGCCCTGCTACACAGAAACCCAGCACATTAAGGAAGCACTGCTGCCAACCTCCGTACCTGGCTGACTGACTGGCGTGACTCGGCGTATCCACCACGGTGGGTTCTGGCGATGGACTTCTGGGGGGAGGGGGAGGGCTTTCTGGTTCCTCAGCTTCATCTGGGACTTCTTCTTTGATTTGGATAGGTGGTAGCGTGCACGCTGTCACCACTGGCACGTTTCCACTAGAAGCTGCTGATGTGGAGATGGGAGTCTGAAGCGGAATGCCAGGCACGGTGGGTGGCGTGGAAGTGGAGGGGCAAGAAGGAGGGGTGATGGAAGGTGGGCCTCCGGGGACAAACGGATGCTGAGAAAAGGGGGGCTGGGAGGATACCTGATGGAGCCCAGATGGGGGGTGATTAGCAGGTGGGGGAAGGCTCTGACTCTGCGTCAGTACAGGAGGCTGGGCTTGTGAAGACTGCAGCGGTTGGCTCTGAGGCATCAGCTGCAAAGGAGGAGGGTGTGCAGATGGGGGATGATGAGTGGAGAGGGAGCTCAGTGGTTTTAAAGCAGGTGGTGGAGGCAAGTTGGAGTTCATTGAGAATGGAGAAGGTCCAGAGAGATGAGGAGGGTGCTTGTGGGACGGAGCAGTGGGGAGCTGAGGGATTGGGGTGGTAGGGGGAGGTTTGATGTGAGGCATGGCCATGGGGGCAGGGGGCAGGGGCTGCTCCCGCGGGGGCTGAGCCTGCTGCAGGGAGGTTGCGGTCGGCAGGACAGGCTGCGTCACCTGCACCTGGAGCGCAGAGTGAGAATGAGACGGCGCCTGGGTCTGGAGGGGAACCTGAGACTGAGATGACTGAGTGGGGAGGGAGAAGGGCTGGGAAGGAACAGGATGAGGCAGGAGGGGCTGGGCCTGCAGGCTGTGAGGGGCAGGCTGGGCCTGACTGTGGAGCGGAGGCTGGGAGTGGGGCTGCGAAGAGGGGGGGGTCGGCTGGCTCTGCGACACGCTCAGAGGCTGCAGCGGTGGGTGAGGCGATGGGAGCCTCTGCGGGTGCAAAGCGGGGGCCTGCTGGATGTGGGAATGAGGCGGCGGCGGCG